CCCACCCCCCAATATCAAAAATTAGTGCTCTAAACACCGAAAACCCCAAAGTCCCTCCTATCCTCCTGCCCCACTTTCCCCAGCCATTCCCTCACTTTTTCCCAAAATAATAGCAAAAGAAATACCACGTGATAGGGCTGTCCCCAAACCCCCCACATAACCCACACCAACCCTCCTCAACAAAACGCAATTTCGGGGACTATCCAGTGGGGCCAGAACCCCCCCCAAAAAATTTTTCCCCTAAACAAAATCTCACACCCCCTCCTTCCCAACCTCCATACTTTCCCCTCAAAATGCAGAAACCTTTGCATGGGGGGCCCCTTCCTTGCCCCCCCCTAGTCTTTTCCACTCCCACCGGATGAAAATGCATTTCACCCCCCTTCCCAGGCCCCAACAAACCAAACCCCCCTTCCTTACCAGCAAATTCACCACCCCCTCTTCATCCAATCAAAACCTGACCCCAAAAAACCTAAAAACCCCTCTAAGAATACGAGTAATCTCAGCCCTCGTAAAGGGAAAAAACCTGCTGCTACATACCATACCTTACTGTACAGCATACTTTTAATAACAATCGCCCGTTGCAGTAATGCCCAAGTGATAAGGCCAAAACCACCCCAACCGACGTTCCACCTTTTCCACCATTCTCGACAAATTTTCGCCTCCCTACCTCCCGAAATGGTCCCCCCATAAAAAATCCACATATTATTAACTGCCCTTCCTGCTTTCTCACCATTCACAGTCCCAATCAATTTTCTGTCCTCCACGCCCCCCACCCCCAAAGATCTTTGTTTTCTCAAACATTTACCGTCATACCTTCCCCCCTCCAAACATGAAAACCACCCCCCCAGCTCACCCAAATCTTGTTCCCTTCCGGACTAGGAGTGTCTTTCCCATCTCCCAACCAAACCCAGATGCCTAATCATCCTCCCTCGACCCCCCCTCCCCACACTTTGGTTTCTCCCAAACCCCTATAAAATGGATCTTAAACAAAATGAAAATTAAAACTGGGTTTAGCAGGCAACCCTGCCCCCCAAGCCCCTATCCATCCCAAACCACATTTTCCCCCACACGTCCTTTGATCTGAATTAAACTTTTTTGCCCCCTTGAACAACTTTTTCAACCCCCCCCCCAAAATCCCACCCCCCAAAACCTTTTTCCCTAAATCTGTCTTAAACCCCCCCTTTTCCCAACCTGATAAATAAGCACCCTCCAAATCAATCGC